TGCCGTTTACGAGGTCAACGGATCCTCGGGATAGCCAGTGATACGATAACGACGGTAATGGAGTATCCTCTGCGCGAGGTTTGTATTGTTCAGAGAGAGAATGGAATATTAACCCTTGCACTCGGTGACTCTCAGTCACCGCTCGATTTGACACAGTGAAACTATAAAATCTGATATTGCAGTACCTAGAATTTTTGGCGTAGGTCCACGGCACGAGTCATGGAACACAGGGGAAATTACGTGTAACACGTTCTTTGACTGATAATTGTTGTCTTATTAACACGTTGACTGCCACGGTGGTCACCGGTGACGGGAGCTTCCAAATCGCTCGATAACAATAGGAAAATTGATGTCGAAGAAAAATATTTGGCGACGTAAGTAGCTGGATAACAACGTAATGTGAGTACTGTGATACCGAATCGTGAATAATGTAGTATCTAGAATTCTTAGCGTAGGTTGAGGTATTTTTAAGAAGAGCGAATGTAAGAATGAGTGTGAATGAAGGACAGGTTGCAAAACGGTCGAGGGAAAGCGGCCTGCAGCGTCGCGGACCCAAGATTGCAGGGCCAGCTTTCCAGGGGTGCATCCGAGTGTTTGCGATGAGTGCGAGTGAGAATGCTTGTGGGAGAGAGAATGATTTTTGGGAGAGAATGCCTGAAGAGAGTTGCGGGAGAGAGTCGTGTGTTGGCCTACGTGGCACTGAGTTGTACTTTTTACGCGTTGTCCGTGTTGTTTCCATATTTTATATTTTGACCATAGTTTTAGCTTTATTTTATTAAACATATATGTTTATTCCTAGCCCTCGATTACTCAAGATCCACCCTTTCATTATTTATATTATAGTAACACTATAATATCAGTGTAAAATAGGTAAAAACATTCATCGCAGGAGACTTTGCCAAATTTCTGAATTAATTTCCAGCGCAAGTGGTTAATGACTACTCGATCACGCATCGAATCGAAGAGTACTTTGCGTGATTGGATCGAATTCGATTCGCATCGAATCGAATTGTACTTTTTACGTGTTGTCCGTGTTGTTTCCGTATTTTATTAAATACATATATCTATTCCTGGCTCTCGATTACTCAAGATCCACCCTTTCATTATTTATACTATAGTAACACTGTAATATCAGTGTAAAATAGGTAAAAAGAAAATTTCCCATCGCAGTTCCCGAAATCGTTGTCCCAGTTCGCGGTGAGCCGCGACGAAAAGCCAATTTCTGGGAAGTTCGAGGGCTGGGCGACCCGTGACGCGAATCAGAAACTCGTTTTGCGCGGAAAAATTCCGGCTGGCCTCGATTATGCCTTGTTCCCCCCGTAACGTCGCGCTTCTTACCGATAGCGATAAGGCGTCGCGTTTGCGGCTCGCGCATTGTGCACGCGGTCCTGAGATTGTGCCGTCCTAACGACGGGAATTTTTTCGCAGGAAGTCGATGACTTACAACGTAAACGAATCTGCGAACCGATGCAATTAGATCTGTCTAGAATTTCATAAAGCTCCGTTTGATCCATTTCCTCTGGAATCTTCTTTTTACGAGTACAATGGAAGGGAGACTCGATAATGTTAATGGGAATGTTCCGTAGTGAGCTGGAGATGTTCCATTAACGTGATATCAGATATTAATGAGATAACGATGATACGAATCTATCGAATCGTATCGAGATTTTCGATTTAATTATTTTACAAGCTACAGTTGGTTACTTCGTAAAGGAAACATTGTATTCGGAAGTATTTTCTATACAATTTTCCTTTTCTTCCTTCTATACATTCATTTATTCCTAATTAACCCCTTATTTATTTTCCAATTGCGCTCAACAGAAATATTTCGAACACAATTCAATGGAAAAAGAGAAAAATTCTGCGGTTCTATGGCTACGTTTACTGAGATGCATTGTAATTAACACTTTGCACTCGGAAGTTTTTCATTAGAAATATTTTAGCGTCTTCTAAAGCTTTGTCCCTCAATTTATATAAAATTTGATACTTAATATTAAACTTAATTACAAAATTTGATACTTAATATTAAACTTCGCATAATGCATCAATTTGAGAAATATCCAAACAAAGTAGCTTTGTCCCTCAATTTGTTTGAATATTTCTCAAACTGATGCATTGTACGAAGTTTAATATTAACCATCAAATTTTATAGTTTCACTGTATGAAATCAATTGGTAAGTGAGAGGCACCTCTCGAAGGGTTAATAGAAAAATAATATTCAATTTGGACTTACAAGAATTAACCCTCTGCACTCGAGAATATTCTCCTCAACAAATATTCAATATTTCCTGATGATACATCAATGATACGTTTCACAACTAACATAAAGAAATACCTAAATTATAGAAAATTTGATACTGAATTCTAAAATTTCGTCATTTTGTTCCGTCCAACCAAATGGCGATTGAAAGGCGTCGCTCGAGTGCAAAGGGTTAAGTGACATTCATGCTCAAGTTCTATTCGAAATCTACCACGAGCCTGACAATATTGTAAGGGTTAAACCGTTCATTGTTTAATTTCGATTAAATTCAATTCACATCGTCGGAATACTTTCCGCGCGTTTGACTCGAAGATGCCTTATCAGAGGCCGTTCAACGCTGTGAAACGGAGTCTTGTAGAATGTTCGACGCTACGAGGGACCTATTTCGCCCCGAAACATCCCTTTGCCCTCGCCGAAACCAGCGGCCACCGTAAAGGAACGCTCTCGTCGCGTTAGAAGCACTCCCGAGCACCAAATAAGACAGCGGTCTCGCGCTCCGAGACGCTTCACCCGAAATCACCGGGAACTTTGATGGAATTGCCTCTGTCAATTCACCACAAAAGACGCACTAACCTGGCAGCATCGAAATGCAAAGGTCGAGCACACTGACGGTATTCTACACCGAACAATCTCTAGACTGACACCTACACGATAATCGAAATGAATTCCAGCCACGCTCGGACGACGAAAATCTTCGCTGAAGTTTAACGCGACATTTCTCGCGCTACTTTGGCTTCTATCATCTTCATTTGCGAGTGATTCACGATTAACAATACTAACGAAGTTCAACGAAGATCAGTTCAACGTTCGAGCGTCGAAATTATTCACAGACGTCTTGGATCAATTTCGTCTTTCGCTGTTCGAGTGAACACCGGTACATCTGCTTCGTGCTAAGTAGAAGAGTTCTCAGAGATGAGATCATTTTTATTCGATGTTTATTACACTTTATTCATAGACGTCTTGGATCAATTTCGTCTTTCGTTGTTCGAGTGAACGGATACATCTGCTTCGTGCTAAGTAGAAGAGTTCTCAGAGATGAGATTATTAATCGCTGTTAATCGATGTTTATTATACTTTCATCCAAGACGAAGTCTATGAATAAAGTATAATAAACATCGATCCACATGAATGATCTCATTTCGGAGAACTCTACTTATCACGAAGCAGACGTGTCCGGTGTCCGCCGGATCGAATCCTGACAATATATTAAAGAATTCCCAGCAATCCCGGTAATAACGATCAGAGTGCTAATCCCTATATACCTGAAACTTCTAAGACCTACATTCCGAAAAGTCAGAGCCAATCGCGGAGCTCCGCCGCCTCCGCTTTCCACATTCCCCGCGGCGATATAAAATCGCCCTCGCCCCCCGAGATCCTTCAATTCCCCGTTTTATACGTTCCCGAATGGCAAAAGCGCCCAAGATCCGCAGTCCATTAACGATCAAAGTTTACTCGAACTTCCCCGAGCGACCCGGCCTCTTCTTCGTCGTCCGCTTTCGCTCTATCTTTTCAGATTCCAGGGCAAGTGGAGCCCCGACCGGGCCGGTGCCCGGCCGGCCAGCAAGAAAGCATGGAAAATTGCCTGGTCGCCACGCCGCGGTTTAATGTATTCGCGGCGAGAGGCGAGAGGCGGGGGCGGCGGGGACGGGGGCTGCCGGCCGGGACCCAATTTCACGCGGCGAGACGTCGAAAACCGGGACCTCGGAGTCGTAGTCGAGTCCGAGCCCGAGCGACTTCGCCCTTTGATTGCCGCCGTTCGCCGTTCGAACCAATGTTTCACGTTCTGCTGATCAAAGGGGAAACGCGGTCGCCTGCCGGCGGATTCGTGATACGTGACCCGCTCGCGAGGATCCGTCGGCCGCCAGCCGGCAGCGCTCCTTCTCTTTTCTCTCGTCTCTTTCTAATTAAAAAGCCAGGACAATTGGAAACCCTCGGACATATCGTTCCTCTTTGCCCCGCCGCTGCGAGACGATTTCCCCGGTGTCGTTTAATGAGAATGCTCGCGCGCCGACGTGTCCTCGCGTGGAAAATGTTCGTCGAGGCTCGTGACGGACGACGATTGGGGAACGGAGATTTCAGGGGACGCTCGCGGTGCGGAATTTTTCGTTTGAGGATTGTTCACCGTCGACGCGAGATTGTTGGATGCTTAGCCTCCGGAGGCGCTGAGGGTTTGGAGCGATTGATGCTAGGAACTTACGTTTAAGATCGCAGTTTCTGAGCGTGGGTTACGGGACACTGAACTTCGTGCTGGCCGCGAGGTTCTTAACTCATCGGACAAATTGATCGCTGGGGAATGATACAGTTTATATGAACCGTAGATGGGCTATGAAGATTTTCTGAGAACAACGCAAACGCGAGGACAATCATGTGTAGCCTATGCGTCTGACCGCAGAGCGACTTATTCTACTAGAAACGAGAACCTTTATACTTCAAGTTCCATTGGCATTCTGATTAGCGACTATTCTTTCGAGTACACCAGTACTCGTCCCTCCATACAGTCCAAGATTCTCAACGAGACAAGCAAAAGTTCAGGATTTTTAATGGTTGCCCGTTGAACCCTCTAGCATCCCGTAGAGCCAAGAAAGCTTCAGTGTACCCAGTGTGTCAAGAGAACTAAATCTACCCAGAGAACGACGCGACAACGGAAAGATTTGAGAGCCAACGGAAGGATCGTGAATAAAAGGTGAAGCAGAATTCGAAGGCGCTAAGGGTAAAGAGTCGATAGAAGGATTAATCATACCGGCTTCCAGTCGAGCTGGCGAGCCATCGGGCACAGTTTTTCCCTGAGACTTCGGCGTGCCCTCGCTCATGGTTCTCCCGTCGCGTCTTCGATCCTCCGGGGGTGGGCTAGACTCCCTGTTCCAGCGGCCTCTCTGGCTCTCGGCGTCCTCTGCGTGTGCCGCCGATTCACCCTCGTTCGGCCACTCTTTCCCACGTTCCACTCTGCTCCCCTCCCGGCGTCCGCAGTCCCGATCCCCCGTGAAACACTTCCGAGTCGCGGTTAAACGGGACGATCCCTTCTGCAGGAACCAGAGCTCCTCTCCTCCTCCTCCTCCTCCTCCTCCCTTAGAGCAGTCTCTTTAACGAAGATATCCGTCACTCGGCGTCGAAACTCTCGGACCTCACCCCTCGTTACCGTAACCGATCGCCACTGAAAAAGAGTCTCCTCGGTGGACGACGGAAAGACAAGCCGGATCACCGTTAAACCCGAGCCTCGGGATCAGCGTGCGTCAACGGACCGACGTGCACATCTCCGAGAATGTGTCTGCGGAACTCGAGGAACCCTCACTCGCGCGAGCCGCGGAATCAAAGAACTCCCGGAATCCTGACTCGCCAGTGGCCGGTCACAAGGGTCGGCGCCGCGCACCGTGCTCCGGAGCGGTCGGTTCCCTCTCCGGTCGTAGAAAACAATATATCCTCCCTCGCGGAGAGAAGCAGCAACGGCGACAGCAGCGGCGGCAGCGGCGGCAGCAGCGGCGGCAGCGGCAGCAGCAGCAGCAGCGACAGCAACCCGGGCGCTGTGGAACGAACGAGGCCGGGAGAGCAGCGAGACGGGAGGAACACGCGCCACCCGGACGGCTTCCGCGGAGGGTGTGTAGCCTGTTCAACGCTTCAGCCTGATCTTCCGCATCCCTCCTCTTCCCCGGCTAGTACGCGAGAGAGCCTGTCCCTCTCCCTCTCTCTCTGCCCGTCCGTCTATCTGCCTCGCGCTCTTCCTTCCTTCCTCCCTCCCTCACGTACACACGCAGCCCGTGTGCCGGATAGACAACGCGCGCACCGACACGTATACACGCGAGGTATCCCGGACACATACACACGGGGGGCGCACGGATAGGACGGGCACGGAGTGCGGTGGTCGCGCGTTGTGTCACAAGGTCACGGGGATCAGAGTGAGGATCGGCTGCTCCAGATATAAAGGCAGCCAGGCAGTCGGCCACGCAGCCAGAGTCGGGCCGGCTACTCCGGTTCTCGGGGCTCTCGCGCACGCTCCTCTAATTAACCGAGACGGAACAACGAACGCCGGCCGCGGACGGGTTCCCCGGAAGTGTCGACGCCGTCCGTTCGGCTAGGATCGATCGGTGTGTTCGTCCGCGATTGGCACGCGTAGGCGCATCGACAGGTGCACACCGCGGGTTCGCAGCGTCCTCCTCCGTGTCCTAACGATGACGATGAGGATCTTCTCTGTATCCTCCTCTCTTCAATCTCTCCTCCGAGCTTCCCGACGGGTGATCGATAGTCCTCGACGTTGCTTGCTCCGGGGAAGAATCCTCTGATCCGATGGTTCCTGGAGAATAGAGGATCGCGGAGCTGATCGGAGCTAGGCTAGGCTCTCGCGGCTTGCAGGTCACCACCCCTGGACGCTCGTCTTCCCTGTGGATGCTGCGGAGTGCTGGAACACCTTCGCCACCTCTCTCTCTCTCTCCCCCTCTCTCCGCCGCCCTATCCTCCTAGTCCCCTCCCGTCCTCTTCCCGCCT